GATGTTTTGTGCAGGTCTGGCCCTAGCAGCGTTTCGCTTGAGGGCTCCAATTGTAGAACAAAAAAAATGTCAGAAGAGTCCCGCACATGGGGGCGGGGAACCCTAAACCACCCGGTCTAGCAGCCGTGCCGCCTGAGACTTCCTCACGTAGTAACTAGGAATCGCGCTCTCGCCTCAATGTTAGGTCGGGCATGTCCCCCTACAGTCTGACTCTAGATGATACATACACATTCGAAAATACATAGTACGCAACACAAGTCAAACACACATAATAAGACTATTCCAACATATTCACGTAAACTAAACAATAATCACGTGTTTATATACATATATGTATAATCTACATATGTATATATATATAATCGGAAAATCGTCCCCAAACAAGAGTTGGACTACTTTTGAATATTCCTCCTGTAGAGGGACGCGCCCGACTTATGTGCAGGAGGCGTGCTCTCGCCTCGATGCTGGCTACATACATGTTTGGCCCGCACGGCCCCGACCCCCGGCTCAAAAATATTAACCTGGGTGCACACGGCCGCGTCTCGACCTCCTGCTCCTCGACACCCGCCTCTCTACCTCTGCTGCCAGTCTTCGACGTGCGCGTTCCACTGCTCGCAAAGTCACAACTCGCCAATGGCCTGGAGCCCCCGCGGGGGATCTACGATAAAGGACATCAAAGCGGACATGTGTCTTTCGGACGTTTGCGAGAAGGCACTTTGCGAGTAGTGGAACACGCTCGGTGAATTATTGGCTGGGGCAAAGTTCTTCCCCCAGCACCAGCCAGCGCGCGCCCGCCCAGGCGCCCGTCTCGAACGCCAGCCGCGCCTCGCGGCACCCCTGGAGCGCATGTTTTATGCGCGGCCGCAGCGGGCGTTACGGGGGCTCAGACGGGGGCGGGGGGGCGGGAGGGGGCATAACGTCGCGCCCCCCCCCCCCCCGGCTTGCAGTGCGGGGGCCGCACGGACTGCGGCAGTGGAGGGGGGAGCGTTACAGTATGGAGGGGGAGGGCAGCGGGCACAACGCACGTTGTGGCCCAGAGGGTGAAACAACAAAACCCTCTCGCCTGCGCGGGGTCGAAGTTGCCGCGCGAGAGCACGCACGCCCGCGCCAGCTCCTCGCCACCTGCTGCGTCCAGCAGCACGAGCGGCTGACGGTGCATGGCCACCTCCGCGCCCACGGCGCCGCGCGGGGGCGGCGGCCGGCCGCCGCTGGCGGCGGGCGCCCGCTCGGAGCCGGGGCGGAGCGGGTTGGAGCCCACGCGCACGCCGAGGGCGTCCTCGAGGTGCTCCGCCAGGGCCACCTCCTCGGGCGCGTTTGTCTCTGCTCGCGGCCAAGACGGGCGTTGTGTGGGGGGGGAGGGGGCACGAGGGGGAGCGTTCGTTACGTCATGGGGGGGGGAGGGGGGCGGGGGGGAGGGGGGCACAACGCGCAGGAAGGCCCAACAAGCAAAAGACGCTCTCCTCGGGGGACGTGCCCGGTCTCGGGCCCAGTCGGCTGTGGCTCTGGGCGGGCCGCGGCTGGCAGTCGTTGCAGGCCATCAGGACGGCAACGAGCCAGGACACCTCCGGCGAGGGGAAGCACCGCACAGACAGACACTTTCGGGGGTCATCGCGGAACTCCTGGACGGGCGCCAGCCCCCCTCCCTGGCGGCGGCGCCCGGGGGGCCCAGCGCCGGTAGAGGAGATCTGCGCGGAGCTCCCGAAAGTGTATGGTTACGCAGCTGCTCCTCCATCGAACCTCGGAGGCCTCGCGAGGCTCAAAGCTCACGCCACTCCGCGGAGCGTGTGATCGCGAGAGGTCCACGCCCGTGGCGGCCACGCGCAGCCGCGCCACGTGCATGCCAACCTCTGTGAGCGTGCCGGTCTTGTCGCTGTACAGTATGCGCCTCTGCTCCAGTCCACGGAACGCCTTCCAATTTTGCACGCTGACCTCGGGTCGCGCTCTCTCCAACAGGAAAACGAAGAGAAAGAATAGCACAACCCATCGCATGGACGGTATCACACTATTCATCTGGACTGCTGCAGAGAAAAAGTGCGTCACCAGCAGCCGCTCCGCCGTAGAGAGGTCGTTCTGCGGCTGCTCCTGCGAACTCTCCGTGCCTGCAGGGACCTGGTCGCTGCCCCGGACGCTCCCGTGGTAGCAGAGCGTGCACACTAGCACGGCGTCGCAGAAGAGGATGGCGAGGGCGGCGAGGTTGGCACGCATGACCTGGGAAAACAGAACCCGGTGCAAACAAAAACTTCCGGAGTTCCGCGCTCCGCGCGGACTTCCTCGGTCTGCGCTGAACCCCCTCCATGGCGCGGTTAGCGCGCCAGGGGTGGCCCTGGAGGCGCCGCCTGGGGATTCCAACGCAGATCCAGGAAATCCGCATGGCCCTCCAGAAACTTGCGATTACGTAATTTGTAATTCTTCTGTTTGGAGTCCCGAAACGGTGCGGTGCCAGACCGTGCGGTGACCTCGAAATCCCCCAAAACCTCACCGCACGGTCCGTCAACGCACGGTTTTGGGACCTCGGATGCCCCAATCGCCGGAGACGTCCTCGGAGAACGACCCGAGTCCCAAAACCGTAAGGTGACCCCGAATCCCCGCCGACTCACCACACGGTCTGGTCACCACCCCGTTTGGGGGCCCCCGATTCTTCTTCGATGACCAGAGAGTTCATGTGCTCCGGGAAACGCTCCATCCTCCCCGACTTGTGCGTCGACGGCGACGTCGCGCCTCCGGCTGTGGCAGCTGCCCCAGCCGCATCCAGCACCGGCGGGCCGTCCTCCGGCTGCTGGGGCGCGTTGCGCGTCTCGGTGACCTGAACCAGCACGCAGCAGCCTTCGAGGGCCAGCACAAAGCCGCGCAGCACCGAGTCCCCGACGCGCAGCACCGAGCAGCAGTCCTCGCCCGTCTCGCAAAGCGAGTTGAACAGGACGAAAGAGTGGGACGACTGCACGACCTTGGCCACAAGGGGTTCAATGGTTAACCAAAAAAGAACCCCAAACCCCGTGGGAGGGGGACTTAACTTAGAAGGGCCCAAACATCAGGGGATAAGGGGGTCTTTTCTGCAGATGTACCGAGCTTAACCGCCCAATGATCATCCCAAATGCGAAGACGGGGACCTCAGTGAGGCCACGTCATTATCGTGCTACTAGGGCTAGGGGTTCTTGCATTCTCGATGATGCAAGGGTTCCCCAGGGAAGCGGGCCCTGCCGCCCCGCGGTGGCGCTTCCCAGGACCACCTCGAAACGGCGTTCAACGCCCCTGAGGACCCGGACCGCTGTTGGCATGCTTACATGATGTGCACCCCCAGAGGTCTCGACACACTGCCCGGGACTGGCTTATCCTCCTGAGCTGTTTTGTTGACGTTCCCGGGGCTCGGCGAGGGCCCCCAAGAGGCCAAATGATCAAAACTCTTCCGCCGTGAGATCTTCACCATGGGAAGAAAAGGTCTGGGGCTGGAACAACGAGTTTGGGGTGAACCCAGCCCGCGGCGACGACGGACACGCAGCGGTATCGTTACTACCTGATCCGCCTCTGACAGACACCTCCCCCTCATCGGCGGCGAGCGAGGGGAGTAAGCGAGAAGGAGAAGGCCTTCTCAGAAGGCTCGGAAATCCCACGGTCCTCTGAGAAGTTGTATAAGCCTTTCCCGAAAACATGAAAAACTTCTCTGAAGGCGCGAGGGCTTCTGAGAAGTCTGGCCGCCTTCTGAGAAGGCCTTCTCCTTCTCAGTTCCCCCTTCGCTCGCCGCCGACCTCAGGAGCACTCTTTCAGTTCCGCGGCGAGGCCTCGCCGTTGGCTGGGCACAGGTCGCCGTGGCTCAGCCGGAGGACGTCCCCGATGCCGACGTCCTTGGAGAGCACCTCCTCGACGCCGCCGTCCGCGGAGACCCGGCAGCACCTCGCGGAGTTGCAATCCGCGTCGTGCCTTGCGGCGAGCACCTGCGCGCGCACCTCCTCGAGAGGGGGCTGAAACTGCGCCAGAGAGGAGGACCAGAGGCGCTGCTTCGGGGGGCCCAGCGCAGATCTAAGAACTCCGCGCGGAGCTCAACAAGTTTATGCTTCTGCAGTGTTTCTTTTCCCGACTCCTGGAGGCCTTACGGATGGGTTCCGAGTCGATGGGGTCGGAAGATTGCACTGAGTCGCCATCGCCGATGCATCGGTAGGCGATTCGGCGCGATCATCCGACCCCGTCTGCTCGGACCCCATCTGAGAGGCCTAGAACTCCTGCACCAGCGTGTAGGCAAAGTTGAGAAGCAGCACCTTGGCGGCGCGCGAAAGGGGGGTAGGGGGAGGGGGGAGGGCTTCTTAGGAGGACGCTGCTTCTCAAAGGCGCCCGCCCTACAGCTACAGACACGGCCCGCCCGAGCCTCCTGAGAAGCAGGGGTACTTCTAAGATTATGTTGCTCCCATCCTGCTCAGGGACCGCATACCAGAAATAATTTCAAGCATCCAGAAAAATACCGAAACAGTGTCGAACGAGTATCGCCTCCCAGGGCCCGACACGTGGAAGCCCTCTGGCTTCGGTACTTCCTTGGCGCTCAAAATTCTTGCCGGTGATGAATGCTCAAGTAGGTCGGAAAGGCATCATTCAAAGAAGCCGTCCCTCCTCCCCCCCCACGCCCCCTCCGCGCGCGTCCAAGCTTATGTTGCCCCCATCGTACTTGAGGACCACATCCCAGAAATAAATTCGAACACCCGGAAAAATGTCGAAAGAGTGTCGGAATAATGTCGGACGAGTGTCTCCCAGGGCCCGTATGTGAAAACCCTCGAGTTTCGGCACTTTCCTGGTACAAGAAACTCTCTCTGGTGATCAGGACTAAAGTAGGTCGGAACATCATGGGGCCAAGCACCAGCAGGTTGATCTTCTTGACGCGCCACGGGTCGCTCTTCGACCAGGTGGCCAGGACCTGCAGCGAGCCGATGGCCCGGGTCGGACGGCAGAGGCGAGGGGGGATGGCCAAAAGCGCGGGGGGCCTCGAGATCCTTGATGGGCCTGTTTCCTACCACCACCACCACCACCACCACCACCACCACAAGTTGAGGGGGGAGGAGGGGGGGAGGAGGAGAAGGGAGGAGGAGGAAGGAGGAGGAGGAGGGAGGAGGATGAGGAGGAGGAGGACCCCCTCCCCCTCCAACTTATGGTGATGGTGGTGGAAAACAGGCCCATCAATCCTGACCTCGCAGGTGTGTTCGCGTGCGTCGGGCGTGAATTACTGGGGGGGGGCGGTAAACGAGCGACGATGAAACGGGGTCTTTCGCGAGAGATGGCATGGCGACCTTCCGCGGGCCGCCAGCGCGGCACGCCACTGGGGCACGCAAACAGAGGACGCGCAGACAACCCCGATGTTGCTTTGCCTCGCCACCACTGGAGGGGAGAGCAACGTGCACCCTTTCGTGCTCCTTTTGGGCCCCAGGGGGCCCGCTCAGGGCCCCTTCGGGCCACAGAAGGTGCACCTTCGTTTTACCCCCCTCACCCCCCATGTCGCACTGAGGAGGAGGAGGAGGAGGAGGAGGGAGGAGCCTCAGCTATATCGCCCGTTTCTGGGGCCTGGGACCCTGGCAGATCGATCCGGCTCGACAGCTTCCACTTCCGGTCTTTGGGGCTCCGGCCGTGATTGCTGCGGCGCTGCAGACGTCGAGGGCTCGTCCTCCCGGCGCCTCCCGGCGCCGGAGGCGCCCGCGTGTGCACGAGAGCGCCCTGCGGCGGAGCACACGAGGCAGCCTGCATGCGGCAGGCTTCCACCCCGGCCCCCCCACCCCCCTCCCCCCCGCCCCCAGGCAACGCCACGATTCGCGCGGGCGCCGTTCGGGGACTGCCCGTTCCTGAGCACTGCCACGCGGCACCAGCGCGAGTCGCGACGTTACCTGCCTCCCCCTCCCCCCACTGCCCCTTTCCACCCCCCTCGGTCGCGCCCGTGCTCGCTGGGGGATCAAAACTGGTCTCCAATGCCCCCCTCGTCTCGTTGTCCGACCCGAGATGGAGAGGAGCATCAGATTCGCTGGCTCGTTCAGGAAGTCCAGCCCCACCCTGACGATGAGCTGGAGCCAACTGGCGTACGGCCGCGTCACTAACTCGTTCGGCGCCAGGCTCACCGGCAGGGTCCGGGTCACAGCGAGGCGCACCTTCTCCTGCAGCGTGCCCCGGGCGGCGGACAGGAACTGCAGCAGCACGGCGCAGGCCAGGAAAGCCACCACCAAGCTGAAAACGATAATCGGAGACGGAAAACCGACATAAAAACAAGAACCTTGGGACTTCCGCGGGGATCTCTTGCATTTGTGCTGCATCCCTCCAGCGGCGCCTCTCTGGCGGGCGGAGCGCGCCCCGCCAGGGGCAGTGCCAGGGGCGCAGCCAGGGGAGGTCCAGCGCAGAACAGAGAGAACTCCGCGCGGACCTCCGAAAGTGTATGTTTATGCCGTTGTTCCGCCTTCCAGACGTACTGGTGAACCTGACCAGAAGAGATCGCACTGGCCAAGTCCACGGACGCGTTGTGCAGCTGGGCGCCCTTCTGCCGCAACTCCATGCGCTTCCGCCGCATCTGCTCGCGGCTCGTGTTCCGCAGGCGCTCCGCGCGCCGCAGCAGCTCCCTGCTGGCGTTCTTCTCCAGGCTGGTGAGCCAGGCTTGCCCCGCGCGCAGACGGGAGCTCGCCCCCGTTCCGTTGCCCAGCGGGGGCGCCGCACCAGAGGACTGGTTGTCGCCGCCTCTTTCGTCTGTAGAGGAAGACAACGCGGCACAAATGTACAGACACCCCTGGGACTGGGCCTTTGCAATTTGTCTCAACCATCCTGTGGTGTTGGGCCCTCACTTTGAAGAGACAATACCCCGCGTCACTCCTCCTACATTCTCCCCACCCCCTCCTCCCATCCCTGTCTCTGCCCTCCGCATGAAAGAACACGTGGGCGCACCCCTCACACGTTTCGTAGCCCCGCAGGGAGCGTCACTGAAGGCCCCAGTGGCGGCGCCCGCATGTGATTCCACCCTCCAATTTCGGCGCGCCCTACACACGTTTCGTGGCCCCAGTGGCAACGCCCGCATGCGGTTCCACTCACCGCTTCGGCAGTTCCTCATACGCTTCGTGGCCCCAAAAGGAGCTTCACCGAAGGCCCCAGTGGCAGCACCCGCATGCGGTTCCACCCACCGTTTCAGCGCACCCCTCACACGCGTCGTGGTCTTGGCCACATAGGGAGCTCCACCGAAGGCCCCAGCTGCAGCGCCCGCATGCGGTTCCACCCCCGTTTCGGCGCACCCCTCACACGCCTTCGTCGCCCCACAGGAAGCTCCACCGAAGGCTCCAGTGGCAGCGCCCCCATGCGGTTCCGCCCCAAATTGCGGCGAATCACTCACACACGCCGTGGCACCATAGGAGGCTCGATCGAAGGCCCCAGCGGCAGCGCCCCCATGTGGCTCCACGCTGCAGTTCGGCGCGCCGCTCACGTTTCGTAGCCCTATTCTGAGCTCAACCGAAGACCCCAGTGTCAGCGCCCGCATGCGGTTCAACCCCCAATTTCGGCGCACGCCTCACACGATTCGTGGCAACATAGGGAGCTCGACCGAAGGACCCAGCTGCAACACCCGCCTGCGTTTCCACCCCCCATTTCTTCGGCGCACCCCTGGGACGTTTCGTGGCCCCACATGCACGGAGCTCCACCGAAGGCCCCAGTGGCAGCGCCCGCATGCGGTTCCACCCCCCGCTTCGGCGCTCCCCTCACATTGGCCCCACAGGGGGCTTCACCGAAGGCCTTGCAGCGTCCGCATGCGGTTCCAAACACCGTTTCGGCGCACCCCTCAAACGGTTCGTGGCCCCACAGGGAGCTTCACCGAAGGCGTCCGCATGTGGTGCCACACGAAATTCCGGAGCACCCCTCACACGATTCGTGGCAACATAGGGAGAACAACCCAAGGCCCCTGTGGCAGCGCCCGCATGTGGTTCCACCCAATTTTTTGCGCACTTCTTGCACGATTCGTGACCTCACAGGGAGCTCCAACAGGGAGCTCCAACGGAGGTCTCAGTGGCAGCGTTCGCATGCGGTTCCAACCCCCAGTCTGGCGCAACCCTCACACGATTGTTTTTTCGTGGCACCAGAGGGAGCTCGACCGAAGGCCCCAGGATTGCACATCGAATTTCGGCGCACCCGTCATGGATCTCGTTGCCCCATAGGGAGCTCGACCGAAGGCCACAGAGGCAACTACCGCATGGCGTACCCGCACCCGTTTTGGCACAACCGTCACACGCGTCGTGGCCCCTTAGGAAGCACCACCGAGGACGACACTCAGCACTACATATGGTTGGGTCGACGTTCCCCTTCTCCTCGAAACGTCGGATCTCAGGGTGCAGTCGGGCCTAGGCCAGAAGAGCATCCCTCAAGAACAGGAGACCCTCCGTCGGCCAAAACTGACAGGGACATCCAAGGGTGCCCTCCCCGGGACGCACAAGACCATCCAACGACCACGAAGAACACCAGGGCACCCTCCCCGAACCGACATTGATCTTATACCTTGTCGTTACTCCAGATTTCGTAATAAAGGGAGGGGGGTCTCATTTCGGGGGGGGGTCTCTTCCAGGCTATCTTGGAGGGCCTGGGGGGGTCTGGGGACGATGTGTTGGAGGGTTCTCCCACGGGGGAGGTCTGAAATGACTTGTCTTGGAGGGTCCAGACCCCCTCCCTTTTAGTACGAAATCTGGAGTCCCTTGGTCCGACTGTACACTGCCGGAGCTCCGCGCAGCTCTCCCGGATCGGCGCCAAGAGCGCCCCCGGACGGCGCCCGCGGGGCCCGGGGGAGGCGGGGCGCCCGCGCCGATCGAAGAGAGGCCCCCGCGCGGCGCCCCGGGAGCTCCCCACGGAAAGAGGCTCCGCGCGGCTCCCCAAGAGCTTCCCGTGGAAAGGAGCCCCGAGGGAAGAGAAACCCGCGCGGCGCCCCGAAAGCTTCTCACGAAAGGAGGCCCCGCGCGGCGTCCAGAGAGCTTCCCATCACGTCCGTCGGCCGAAGAGGTGGGCAGAAACATGGAGTAGGAAGGCCTTAGAACTAGATTGGGGTTCTGCCAGCCCCCTTGAAGTGGAGGAAGATGGGAAAACCATTCGACTCTTGAAATGAGACGACTGCTATAAAGGAGACTGGGATCTGAAAACCCTTGAAACGACCGCCTTGGCAGCCCCCACGACATACTCTTAGCACGAGGCGTGTCCAAGACCAAAGAGACAACATCTTAGACCATGAGCCCGACGCGTTGACACAAGACAGCAGACATTCAAGTGCTCTAAGGACAGCTCGCGCAGACCACGAGAGGCTCTCAGAACATTCTTGGGTGGGCCCACGTATGGGCGGACCCAGACCCCCGAAGTCTCGACCCATTCCCCAGGACCCTCTTTTCATCCCGAGTCAGTGCTTTGAACCGGGACAGACCGTCCCGGCATTCCTGTAGTAGTACCACGAAATGTTCTTAGAACCCAAATATGTTCTAAGAACAAAAACAATGGTCTTAGAAAATAAACCCGATGTGTTAAAACAAGACAGTCCCAGCCAGAAATGTTCTATGAACATTTCGTTGGAACCTCAGAAGGTTCTTAGAACATTTTTTGGTGGGGCTATAAGCGAGCCGGGACGCTTCGCCACTGCTTGATTGTTTGACGGCCCCGAGGCCCGGGAAGGGCCCCCCGAGGCCGAAATCAGCGACACACCTCCCGTCGAGATTCTGTTCACACATCGAGGGGGCCTGGGAACCAGGACGCTTCGCCACTGCGCCACTGCCTGCAATCCCCCCCACAAAAAAGAACTGCTCTCTCAACGACTGGCGCCCCTAGGGGAACGAACAACGACATAAACATAAGAAACAACTCTGAGGTCCGCGCGGACTTCCCAGATCCCCTGGTGCGCTCCGCGCGCCAGGAAGGGGGGGATCCAGCGCCGATCCGAGAAATCCGCGCGGACCCCCGAGTGTCTATGTTTACGTCCTTGCTCGTTCCCCTAGGTGCACGCCAGTCGTGGAGGGAGTAGTTTCTTGGGGGGACTGCAAGCAGTGGCGAAGCGTCGTTCTTCGACCCCCTATCCCAAATCCCTTCTTAATGGTCCCCCGGGTCTGGTTTGTAAGGCGCCTTTTTTGTAACTGGGGGGTCCAGTTTACTAGGGCGCTTTCTTTGGATTGGAGCTTAGCGGGTCCAGTTTGTTAGGGTGCCCCGTCGAAGAAGGGGGGCGGGAATATCAGGTCGCATATGTAGGGGGGTACGGTCTTTTAGGGGGGTCCATTAATGAGGGATTGTAAATCGTCTCTGTGCTGCCTTCTCTTCCTCGATTCTCTCCCCCTCGGCTGCTGCCCCTGCGGCGTGGCCCCGGCCAGGGGCTCGGCGCCGCCCTCCCGGCCGCCCTCGCCGACGAGGCCCTGGCGCTCCTCCTCCTCTGCAGACGAAGCCAGGACGAGGAGAAACTCGGACGAGGACAGAGGAGGAGGAGGAGGAGGAGGAGGAGGAGGAAGAGGAGGAGGAGGGGAAGAGGAGGAGGAGGAGGAGGAGGAGGAGGAGGGGGAGGAGGAGGAGGGGGAGGAGGAGGAGGAGGAGGAGGAGGAGGAGGAGGAGGAGAAGAGGAGGAGGAGGAGGAGGAGGAGGAGGAGGATGGCGAGAATCTCTGAGATCTGGCGGTCCTGGAGGACGCATCGGGCGCCGCGGCCTCCTCGAAGCGTGCCGGAACGCTCTCAGAGCGCTCCCGAACGCTCTGGAACACAGAGTACGTTAGAGGCCAGTCCAAGAAACCTTCACAAGAAACCCATTCCTGAGACCCCAGGACGTCACTTGAGTTCTGGTGTTGGAACGCCACGCTTTCCATAGCAAAACCATCGAAATCCCAGAAACTCAGAGCACCCTGGAGACAAGCAGGGTGTTCCTTGGCATGGGCCCCCACTGTAGACGAGCGGACCATCGTCACCGAGAACCCATCGACGCGGGGCCGAGCCCTGGGCGGTGGCACGCCCGACCGTCGTCCAGTGCTGGGTGACGCTCGGGCGTGCCACCGCTCAGGGGTCAGCCCCTCGCCCATGGGACCACCTCGATGGCGATGGTCCCTGTCTGAAGGGGCCCCTGGACACACAAATCAATACAAACAAATCCCAGGATTCGCCATGCTTTCTTGTATTTTCTAAATTCTCGTCTCCCCCCCCAACACACTTCCCATGTTTTCTCACATTTCTGGGGAAACGACGACTGTTTGTGCCTGCGGGTTTTTTTCACTCCTGCATGTTTCTCCTCTGAGGAACGGATTCGTCCTCGCCCCAGCCGCGCCCGATCCTCCTCGCCGTCGTCCTCGCCGCCGCCTCTTGGCGGCTGCCCCTGAGGCTCAGCGCCGCCGTGAGGCGCCGGCGCCGCCCTCCTGCCCACGGGGGTCGTAAAGGTGGCGTAGGGGCTCCTCCCCTCCTCCTCCTCCTCCTCCTCCTCCCACCTCTGTCCTCCTCCTGCTCCCCCTCTTCCACCTTCCAACTCCAACTCCCAACATCCTCCTCCTCCTCACTCCTCCTCCTCCTCGCCCTGCTCCCTGCCTCCTGACCTCGGCGATCACTCCTCTCCTCGCGCCCCGCGCCTATTTCCTCCCCCTCCTCCTCCTCTCTTCCTCCTCCCCTCCTACACCCTCCTCCTCCTCCTCCTCATCCCCCTCCTCCTCCTCCCTCCGCCTCCTCCTCCTCCTCCTCCTCCTCCTCCTCCTCCTCTTCCTCTTCCTCCGCCTCCTCCTCCTCCTCCATCTTCCTTAGAGGTGGCGCCTAGCAGCGGGACATATGGACATCCAGCGGGGCTTGTCCCCCAGCCCCACCTTGGGATAACCCCCCACCCAATACGAACCCCCGATCGGTGACTCCAAAGGGTGTGGTTTGTGGAGGGTGTCGTTTGCAACCGGCACCCTGGAGGGGCACCCTGGGGCCAGAGGGGGGCGGGCGAGGACCTCGATGGAGTTCTCCGCCGCCCCTCAGGCCCCAAAGGCGTAACCATATCCTTTGTATTGGCCACGCGCACAGGGGGGGGGGAGGGGAAAACTTCTTAGCAGGAGGCTGCTCCTTAGAAGGAGCCAGCTTTGCACCCATAGATAACGCCCTCGCCTTCTAAGAAGCAGGGGCGCTTCGAAGAAGCTTCCCCCCCTTCCCCTACCCCCCTCTCTGCGCGTGGCCGAGTGTACTCGCCGATCATGGGAACACCAAAAAGCCAATACCGCTACCCCACGGACCTCTTCCAGGGTGCGTTCTGGCCAGGATTTCGAGGCGAATCCGGCAGTGGCGACAAGGGCCTCCCAGGAGGCCCAAAAAGGGGACACCGAGCGAGGGGGTAGAAGCATGGGTACTTCCAACTCCTCCTCCGAGATACCCCCCCCTCTACGACCCCCCGACCCGATCCCGCTCCTCCTGGCCAGCGCCGCCGGCTGGGAGGCCCCCTGCGCCCTCGCCCTCGCCGCCTCCTTCCCTTGGTTGCTCCCGGGGCGCAGCGCCGCCCTCCCGGCCGGCCTCGCCAGCGGGGCGGCCCTCCTCCTCCTCGCCCTCGCCCTCGGCAGGGAGGGGCCCACGGAAGGGGCGGCAGCGGGAGCGAACAGAACAGGGTCGGCGGCGAGCGAGGGAGGGAAGCGAGAGGGGGCGGGCCTGAGCCCTTCCCGCAGACAGGGAAACACTTCTCGGAAGGCGCGAGGGCTTCTGAGAAGTCGCCCCGCCTTCTGAGAAGGGGAGAAGGCCTTCCCCTTTCCATTTCCCCCCCATCGCTCGCCGCCGAAACCCGCTCCCGGCCACTGACCCCGGAGGGGGGATCGGCGGGCTGCGCGCGGAAGTCCGACGCGATCGCCCAGGCCCGCCTCCCACCCTCGGGGGAGCGGAGGAGCGACACTATCTCCACCATGGGGGGGCACCTCCTGTTCCCTCCTCCTCCTCCTCCTCCTCCTCCTCCCTCCCTCCTCCTCCTCCTCCTCCTCCTCCTCCTCCTCCTCCTCCTCCTCCTCCTCCTCCTCCTGCCCCTCCTCCTCCTCCTTCTCCGTCTTCTCCTCCTCCTCCCCCTTCTCCTCCTCCTCCTCGCTCGCTCGCTGCCTAAGGGCCAAAGAGGTCCGAAGCCCATACTTAAAGGGAATAGAGAGAAGGCGAAGACAGTACCCCCTACATGCACATGCAGAGGAAGGGGAGGGGGTGATGAGGGGGACTCAAGAGCCACTGTCCACGGGCCTGGCCAGGGTGGCCTGCAAAAGAAGCGCCGCGGCGAGTCCGACCGCCGACGCAGGGAACTGGCTCGCATCACTCGAGGGGGGCGGATGGCCACGGTGATGATGGCAACGCCCCCCACAAACTCCAGGCACAAAGGCGTCCAGAGACGCAAGACGCTTAGCCACAACAAGGCTAGGATGCAAGTGCTGGGCCCCGAGCGAACACATATCCACGATAACCGAGGTCACACCATCACACGACAGGAGTTCTTTCATCTCAGTCACGTCGCTACAACTAAGCGGCAGCAACATAATGAAGGGAAGTCCGTACTGCGCATACAGCAAACAAAAAAGGAGGGCGGCCTGAAGCACCTTGTTGTCCTGTCCACCTCCTTCGCTTCCCTTTCATACATCCGATCGGATCCCCAGGGCCTTGCATGGGTTCGCACTTGATGGCGAGAAGTGCGCCATGTCGGCATGTGAGGCGCCACCAAAAGTCCAGCGACCTCCCCCGCAGCCAGCCTGCCCTTCCATTGTTCAGCTTCGTGCTCGGAGGGCCATGGAGAGACGAGGGGGGAGGGAGCAGAGACAGACACCTGGCAAGGATTCTCGAAAGCCAGACCGACGCGCCCTTCATCATCGAATTCACCAAACAAGCCCACGCGGTGGGCATCGGGTCCAGGGTTCACTCTAACAACTTGTTGAGAATTCGTGCTCACGTCTTGCTGAAAGGGGGCTCTGGGAATGTCGATCCTCTCAGGCGGAGGCCCCACCACACGCAAGCGAAAGGGGGGCCCGAACACTCTCTGAGCAGGGATGAGAGCGTGCGTGTCAGATTCCCCCCCCCCCCCCTTCCTGTTCGCACGCGCCTCGATCTTGCGCAGTTCAATGGCCTCCTCACGCTCAGCCTCGCTAGGACGCAGGGGGGGAGTTCACCCAAGCACGAAAACAAGCAAAAGATCTGTGACGGTGCTTGATCAAACGCACTCCCTGCCAGAACCCCCAACAGCACACAGGGCACATCGATCCGGTTGCCACGTTCTCTGGAACGTCAGCTGTCTTATGCTGCTTTGGAGCGATGAATGCGAAAAAGCCTCAGCGTCTTGGCAAGATGGCCGCACTCGTAGCAGAGGAAACCTTGATCTCCAACAGGGTCAGGCGGTGGCGGCGGAGCCTCGCTAAGCGGTGGCTGGCTACTCCCAATGTGGGGTGGGGGTTTATTGGATCTGAAAGGTATCTCATCCTCGTCCACAGCATCGGGCGCCACTTGCAAGCCATCGTCGGCAAGCTGGGTCAACTCAGTACATTTGCTCAAGTTTGCGTTGTTATCCTGCGCGCGTTGGAAGATAGCCCGCAACCTGGGGCACCCCAGCTGTTTGTGCATCTCCTGTCGCCATTGTCGTGCTTGTCGCATGATGGCCCAGAACCGTTTTTGCGCTGGTAGCGGCCTGTTTCACGATGGCCAGGTAGTCGCGTCTGTGAGACCTCGCCAGCCGAATCCACGAATTGTCATCATACCCATATTCACGAGCATCGACCTGAAGATATCGTCGAAGCCATCCAACATCCTGTCGTACTAATTTTGCCCAACCTCGGCCCCATGCGTAGTCAAGTAGCAGTCTCACAAGTGGTGGAGCACCACTTAGAATTCGTGGTAGCAGCCGCAGCCGAGCCACTGTCATTACCACATGTAGAGGCAATCTCTGCACCTTCACTAATATGTCGGCTGCCGATGCATGCACCTCGCTGCAGTTGGTCGCCCCGAGGTTTCAGGGAGTCCTGTAGATTGACATGTAGCTCGTCACGGCCCTCATCTGTAAGTAGCGGGGTAGCGGGTCCCACGTGCGAGCTGCGAACAAGAATTTTGACCCCGCATGTGCCTCGCTGTAACGCACTTTGTGCGTCAGGTCCAGCTGCGTGCACGATGCCACCACCTTTTTGATCGGCCGCAAGGCCGATCTCTAGCTTCGTATCCTTTCCGTACTATCATCACACATAGTGCCTCTGTCATTAAATCGCGCACCTAGCACTTCGTGTACTCTCACAATGGGTACCTTGAAGTCGTGTAGGTCGCTGACGAGGTAGTTGTGCTCCTTGGTATAATAATGTCGTGCCTGAGCCCTCGCACCAGCTCCGCGAAAGCTCAGCATGACCACGGTCTTGTCGAAGTTCAGACGGAATCCATGTTTGGTGCAGTGTACAAGTATAAACTCAGTCAATATCATCGTCTTGAAAGCCAGCTCCGAGGCCGGCGCCGCCACAAGGGCAGTGAGGTCATCCACGAAGGAAGTGCTGGAGTGAGATTGCCCCTGGTCAACTTGAGAGCCAAAATGGTCTAAGGCGAGGGGTGGGGCCCATGCAAGATATCCATGGGCAGCTTGCAGTTCAATGCGCCCCTGTATTCTCGCAAAGAGGACGTCAAAAACATCCGCGGCAGGGATTGCCCCAGGGCGGCAACCCCTCCCAGGGCGCTCAAAACCCCGTGCCCCCCGCACACGCCAGAAACTGCCCACTTGGCTTTCACGCACCAACTCCAACAAATGGGGTGGCACATCCACGCTATCCAGGGGCCCGCCCGCCTCAGGCTCAGCCTCGAGGCCAGCGCGCACGAAGGGCCCCAACTCCACATGCAGGAGCGCATCTCCGAGCCTTTCCGACTCGCGGGGCAGCGCGAGGCACAGCTGTTTGAGGGCGGAGTAAAAGGCCGCATGCAGGTCAACAAAGACCCCCCCAGCAGAGAAGCCACAATCCTTGGTGGCACTCCAGAAGGAACGGATCATGAGGAGGGCTCCCTCCAGTCCCCTCCCAGGAAGCCCTCCGCACTGCGCCTGCAGAAGCGCGCGCTCCACAAAACGAAGAGAGGCCTGGCGCAACAACTGGTGGTGTAATTTTCCGATAGTACTGCCTAGAAGGACGTTGCGCTGATTGGGCATGAGGTCGGTGGCCCCCTTACCCTTATGGAAGAAAACAATCTCTCCACTCTTGAACCCTAGTGGTTCTCTTTGCAGCACGCATGTCTTAAGAAGCAGCGGATATACCAGACGCGCAACCGCCTCATTGGCACACCTTCCTAGATCGGCCACAATGCCATCCATGCCTGCGGCCTTGTTCGGATGGCATTTGCGGAGTGCCTGCTCCGTGGTCACTAGCGTGGGGAGGAACTCAAGCACTGGGTCTGGCCTGGGGGTGGGGCGCTGACTAACTTTACTCCTCAAGTAGCTGCCCAGAGTCGACGTTCTTAGCGGCCTCGAGGTTAGCACAGCACTTCTGAGCAATATGTGCAATCTCCTCTTGAGTCGTCGCAGCGTTGCCCACATCATCAAGCATGCCTGGAAAAGTTACGCCCATCTTCGGCGGCTTGCCTCCGAAGCGCAAGGCGCGATCTGGCGCCGCCCATTCCTTGCCAGGGGCGCGCCCGTCAATCGCGATCGACACCTCCCCCAATTGATTCACCAGGAATTCAGCCCTATCATGGTGCATACAATCTATCGGCATCTGCTGCGTCGTCAGCATGAAACCGTGTAATGAGAGATGCAGGAGGTCAGCGTGAAGTCCCCCTCTTAGGAACAACTCGACCCAGGATGCAAGCCCCATTCTTGCGTGTCCCCACCTGGTATGATATCCGATTCTGCTCAAAGATAAGCCTCCTGCGTGTACCCTTTCGGCTATATGTCGAAAAACTCTGATCCTAAAGTCCCCCCTCCCCATCGCTTGCTTTCCAAGGGCTGTTTGAATGGCTCCGCGCGCGGCAATCAAGGAAAGAGCGGGGGGGGGGGGGGGGGGGGGGGAGATAGCAAGCGCGGGGCCTGCGCTTTTCCAAGGGGAAGGCCTGAGCGGCCGCCGTGTGAAGCTCATGCGCGACATCTGTTAGGTGGGCCTTAACTCCAATTTCCCAGGCCGGCACAACGACGGCCCCAAGGAGGTCCCGAAAGCTGGATACACAGGCAGGGTCAGTGATCTTGTCACGATCCCGACGGGGGCAAGGGGAACGACGCTGGCACCCCCCCCTCTTACATTGAAGTCCACCTGCAAGGGCACGCGGTCAGGCTGCTTGGCGCAAAGGTCCACATCATACCTAGTCCTGACCGCGGTCACCGAAGCCATGAAGGCTGTGTCACAACATACATAGTAAATCCTATGATTGGATTATTCTTTGCCAACATATGTGTGGCTGCGGGGGCGGGGTGCCTTGGCGTTGACCACATGTAAAAGATTATGGGCAACACACGTGTGAAACTCAGCTCCCGTGGAATCCTCCGCTTGGACAAATCCCTCCCCGCCGACCCACTCAGAAGTAACGCTGCCTAACCTTCCATTCGCATCAACAAAGGTCAGGGAAACATTCCCCTTTTCCAGCAGCGA